TTCTTTTTTAGTTCTTGCCAATGGTGTTCAGATCTGAGATCCAATCATTTTTTTATTTTTATTTTTTGTAAATTGAACAAATAGAATAATTTCGAGAAAAAAATTAAACAGATTTGTTATACTTATTATCTATTCAATAAATCCTCAATGTGTTTTTCTTTTTCTTTTTTTAAAGTAGTTGTTGTTATTGTTGATGATTATGATGATGAAACAGATTGAAAATATAAATAGATGGAGTTTAAAACATATGAACAGACAGAGTTTTAAAATATAAACATATTTGAATTTCAACAGATAAAATTTGTTAAATTGAACAGATAATAAAATTTGGATAGATTATTGAACAAATAAGAGAAAAAAAATTGAACATATAATAAAATTTGGACAAATATTTGTATAGATAAGGGAAAAAATTGAACAGATAGTTAAATTTTTTGAACGGATAGATATAAATTTGAATAGATAGTCAAATTTTTTTGAATAGATAGATATAAATTTAAACAGATAGTCAAAAAAGTCAACAGATAAATTAAGCGGTAAAATTGAAAAGAAAATGTCATCTCAAAAGAACAAAAGGATTTCTAACCAAACTATTTCACAAAGTGTGAATGTCTCACTAACAAAAATATCCACTGAATCTAATACTTTATACCTTTTTAGATTGAGTTTATTACCAATTTTTTTGTTTTATTTAAATATATATATATATATATTGAAAAAAATTTCTTTTAAAAAATATTAAAAAAATTAATTATCAAACGAGAGGCAAGTGTGTATAAGATATTGTGGCCTTGTTTAGAAAGTTAGGTTTGGACTAAAATAGTCAATAAAAATAAAATATATTTAAATTGTTAATATTACATCTAATTCATAATTATTTTATTTTTTCTTTCACAACTAATAATTAAAAAATAATTAAAATTAAGTGGTTATATAAATTTATAATCATTTATAATGACTTTTTGACTAAAAAAAATAATTAAAAAAAAATAACAAGTCAACCAAAATAACTTATTATCAAAAAAAGGCCTGTGTAACAAATTAGGCGGTTATATGAATTTTCGTACAAATACAACAATGTTAGGTGAAATAAAAAAGCCTATTCCCAACAATCCTGTGTAACAAAAAATGAGGTGATTTTATAAATTCTCGTACAATTACAACAATGTTAGAGCATCTCCAACCATTGTTTTTATAATGCTATTGCTATTGCTATTGCTATAATTTGACAATAAATAGTGCTATTTTGCCAAATTATAGCAATGGTGCTCCAATGGTCTGTTGGCTACATATTTTGTATAAGCCAATTACAATTCGACACGTGACAGAATGAGGGTAATACGGAAAGAATATTCAAGTCTTCAATCATGATCGTACACGTGATAGTTAGTATTGGTTAATACAAGATCTGAGTAGAATTGGATCAGCAAAGAGATGCAAAGTGATGTGGCTTCAACAGTTACTCACATTCAAATTCAAATTTAGGAGAGAAGCCTAACTGCAAGTGATGGCATAGTGGAGCTAATTATAAGACAACATGATCAGCGATCATGGAGGAGCAGTTCGACAGTTGGAAATGCAGATTCGATGGTCATCCTTGAGAAGTATAAATAGCAGAGAAGGCCCCAGAAAAAAGTCCCAGACTCGGATCCAAAAAACCAGTCTTATTCTACTTTATTTCATTTCCAATTTTACATTTCCAGTTCTTTACATTTCTGCACTTTAAAATTCCTGCACTGCACTTCATTCATAAGAATAATTTCAAGTAGATTGTTGCTGTAAACCTCTACGAGGTTGAGTTTGGATCATTGTAAGTTTTTCATTTTAATGAAATGTTTCAATTGTTCTTCATTTAATTGTTATTTTGCTTAATTCTCCTAAATCAAGCCACCAGTAAGAGTCCTCTTCATTGAGGCTGAAAGAACTAAAACACAATCGTCTGATAATTTGTTGGAAATTAATTTTCTAAAAAGACTGATTGATCCTTGCTGGCACGCTCGCAATTACAAAAATAACCTTCGAAAATCAAAAAGCCAACATATATTTTTGGCACGCCCAGTGAGACTAATAAAAATGGCTAGACGTAAAAGACAGAGAAAAAATGAACGCTTGGAAAAAGGCGTAGAAGGAGAGGTAGAGATACATAATCCAGAGGATAATGTGATAACACATCCTGTGGAAACTCCCATTTTATCAGAACCTATGGTCGAACAGACCAGCACTTCGAAACAAGTACCACATGTTCATAATACTGGACGAGACCAAGGAATTGGACCATCCACTGTTCCATCTACGCAACCAATAAATCCATGGAGTGGCCTAGTAGATGCTATGGGACCACAATTAATGAACACAATGGAGGGATGGGCAACATCCTTTTTGGATCGAATGAATAACCACCAACCAACAAACACAAAACACATGGAGGAAGTTTCAAATGTCCCTCAGTGAAGATTAGCTAGAGATAAACAGTCTATGCAAGTTAATGGACATTCTAATGGTCAAACTAGTAATCAGAACTATGAAAGACCATCACCTCAGTCTTGGTACGAACCTATTCCGAGACTTATAGCAGGTCAAAATGCCTCAGTACTTAATAATGAAGCCATGCAAATTGGTGGATCTAGCCCAGCACAAGAAAATGGCATAATCCATATTTGAGACTTGAAAACCACATTTTTAGCCTCTAAAAAACTCTAAAAAAAAGTGGTAAAAAGTTGGAAAAATTTTGAGAAATAAGTGGGAAACACAATGGTAAAAGCTTAGAAAATAAGGTTCAGAGAAAGGTAGTTAACCCCTCCACATTTGATAGCTTTAAGCCACAAGTTTCATCCCATCAAAATAGTGTAAAAATAGTATGAAATCAGCAAGAAAATAGTACGAAGAAGTAGTGTAAAGACGGCCAAGGTTATACCTCTTAAAGATGAGTAACTCTTTGATTCACAAACTCACAACCTCCTTAGGCTTGCTTACTAACTTCATTTCTCCATTATTTTAGCTCACTTGTTCTACCATTTTAATGTTAATTTCAGCACTATTTTTGTGAGTTTTAGGACTGTTTTAATGTGTTTACTTCATTCATGCCTTATATAGTATGCTTGTAGTGTTGTAGCCCTCATATGTTTGGTGGTTTAGGCCTTAGACACCAACCTATTTGAGTTGATAGCTTTTATTTTGGGCTTTTCATACATGTTTTTACACTTGTGATAATCGTCTCTGTACTCTCCCTCCTTTCTTGGTTTTATTTGTTTGAGTCGTTTCAAACGAGTGTTGTTTAAGACATGCAAAAGAGACCCTTCCATACTTAATGGTTTAATCTATTCGGAGGTTCATTACCAAGGCATTACATCTCTCTGATGTCAAGAACAACTTCTTGTTTGACCCTTCCCATCATTTAGTGGACTTAATTCTCATTTTTGGACTAAATGATTAAAGAATGGAAACCAATTTCTGAGCTCTAGAAATCGCCATTTTTTATTATTATTGGAGATTATGAAATTCACAAGTTTGATTTGAGACTTTTACGAAGATTTTTGGTTACTTTTTAGGGTTCCAAACGTTGCAGAAGGAGATCTTGAAGAAACGATTCTTGAAGAAACAGGTCGTGAAGCTTCTTCGAGTTCGAGTTCGAGACTGTGAAGGCCCAATCCATTATCCATCTGGTAGGCCCAAATAATTGATTATGTTGTTGAACCTTTCAAAAGCCCAAGTTATTAAAACTGGGCTTGCAGCCTTCTAGGTAATTTTCTATCTTCTCTTTTCTCTTTTTTTAGTAGATAAATTGCATTGATCTGTCTTGAGATTTAAAGAAAATATAACAAATTTTATAATTTTGACATAATTATATTAAGCTCTTTTAAGATTTTAATTCATATAAAATCTAACTTCATTTTCATTAATAATTTGTTAGTTATATAGATAAAAAATTAATATTGTTATCTCTTTTAGATGAAAATACATACTTTACGTTGTTTTTTATATTTTAACATATTTTAACACTATCCGCATTAGTGTAGGTGGTCCATTTAATCTTACTGAAAAGAAAGTCAATGTAATTATGTCAAAACTCTGCAGCTTGTAATAGTTTGATTTATGAAGTACTATTACTATTTCAATCAACTTTTTAACTTTTTACCTAAAATATATAATTAACAAACGAGAATAGTAATCAAGATGGCTAGAGTTACACACTTATTCACATATGCTTACAATACCTAAAGGATGTCGTAACTTAAGGCCCTATTTGATTAGCAAAATTAACAATGAGAGGATTAACAATTCATAAAGTTAGTGCAATGTTGGTTATCTAGATGGATTAGCGGGACATATAGGGTTCGTTTGGTTTGTATCTCTGAAAAATTTTTGGGAAATTTTCTCTACAAATAAGTTTTTAAAAGTAATCAAACTAAACAAATTTTTCCAAAAAAATTTCTCAAAACTTGTAAACCAAACAAGTTTTCCAAACAAATCTCTCTCACATACATCAAATCAATCACTTTTTCCAAAACTCTCTCAAAATAATTTTCCAAAACATCTTTTGAAAAAAACTAAACCAAACAACTTTTCGTACTTTTTATCTCTAAAACACATCTCTCAAACACAAACCAAACATACCCATAATCCCCTCTTGTCCACGTTTGTTTCACAATAGCTAAGAAAATATATTGAAAATATAGATTCCTAGTTACATATTTTCTTTGCATTATTAGTTTTAAAGTAAAATTAAAAAATTTACCAATTTTGTTGGATCAAATATCCAACAAAATCTAATCCGGACAACAAAAGTTGCAACTAAACACAGAAATATGAGTCCCATAGATTTAAAATCCCAATCCGCCCAATCAAACAAACCCTAAAGAAATATACTGTCCATAATGTCAAATCCAATTGAAATTGAACAATACTAGAAAAAGGGTAGGAATTAGCAAATTATAAATTATTTCATCCCAAAAAGTAAATATTTTGGTTTCAAAAACAAAAACAAGAACAAGAACAAAAACAACCACAAAAAAATAAAAATAAATAAATAATGACAGAAACAGAAAGGATTCAATAAGGTTCTCGTTGCCATGAAATGGCAAGGTGACTCGAGCCAAACTTTCCCAACATTGTATATGTTTAAAGGATAAGAAATTAGGCCTCCCTTGTCAGGCTTACAAAAATGCGAGCATGAATACACTTAATCTAAAGAACTCGAGGCTGCTGAAAATTGAATATAAACACAACACAAATATTTATTATATGAATGACAAAAACAATATTAATAGGTCGGAAATTGTTTCACACCTTGGTGGCAACTTTCAGTAGCTCTTCCCATGTGGTTAATTTGTCTCTGGGTTTGTTTTTCAAACTTCCAAGTCTTCTCTCTTCAGTGTCGATCTTTTCCCAAGAACTGAATGGAATCACTTTGACATTCCTCCGATCTAACAATTGGAGAAGTCCCTCTCTGCCTGGCTTTGGCAAGCTCAGTGCAGATGCTAATACTCCTTTCTCAAGGTCCTCAGATATGCTCATGATCTGTGACCACTTCAGTCAATTCGAGAGTAGCTGGTAATCACTACAGATAACCCTAATATATGTTGTTTTAGTTTACTCTTACACTCCACTTGTTTTAGCATAAAATGTCTCCCGTAGAAGATGTTTTCCTATGTTTAGTTGCATCCTAGAAGGAAACTAATATACTAGTATTTGTATTAATGGTGGTGGCAGCAAAATAGTGGACGTGGACGTGGTGGGGGTGTGGCGACGGTGGTGGGATGGTGGATGTGGTGGTGGTGGGGTGGTGACAATGGTAATGCGAAACGTTTTCCACTTTTTTAAACTATAAAATATTTTGTGCCTAAATAAACTTGTTATCCATTGACTTTCGTATCAAATTATACTAAACATTTGAAAATGCAAAAAACATTTTGCGCCCAAACAAATGGAACGTTATTTCTAGCAGGATGCTTCATGCATAAAGGATGATGGACAGACAACGTTTTCTTGACCGTATACAAAATGCTACTTACTGTTTCCTCCGCACAATAAAGGTTGGTAGCAATGATCCCCGTTGGTCCCCTTTTCAACCACCCACATACATAGACGCCCTCTAGTTGTGTATGATCTCCTGAAGAGTTGATTAACACACGACCTCCAACATTTGGTACTATTCCTGTAAAACAAGTCAAGCACGGAAAAGGGAAACATGAGGTTTTGCAACCTTGAGAGGCTTGTGTATACTAACAAGAAACTTTCTAATCACATGACAAGGTTCAGACTTGCCACTCTGATCTGAATGGGAAAAAAGCATGAGACAAAATAATAACTCCTCAGTATTATCATTAGATATTAATTAAGTGTATAGGGAGGAGCACTGTTACACGGATTCTTCTATTATGCTCAAGGTACCTGAGTTGGCACTCTGACAAATGAGGGATTGGAGTGTGTCCAACCCAATACCAGACCTTAAATCTTCTAATGTTTGGCAATGAGGAGGTTTTATTTGACAAAAAATGACAGTTGTCTCGCCACACATAAAGTGACTAGGGAGACGGAAAAAAAAATCACCTTTCCCATTAAATTTTATTTAATTTCAAAATGACAATGCTATACAGAATATGTTAGATTAATGTGCAGGATGTATCCATACCCAAATTTTTGATACATTATCCTTGTACCCTAAGGTTTGCATCTATGAAGCATGGACAAAGACAAACCGACATGAAATTTTTTATTTTATTATTATTATTATTTTTTTTTTTGATAAAGAAACCGACATGAAAATTTTCAAAAAATGTAAAGACACTATATGGTGGAGGACATGAAATATATATAATTTTATATATTTATTATAAGTCATATATAAAGATAATTATTATATGTCGTATGTATGAATATTTAAATAAATATAATGATTTCTAAAGTTTAAAGACGAATAGCTATAAATTTACATTGTTTTTGTTTTATTATTGGATTCCAAGTTATTTTATTCAAACTTGTAACGTGTTTTATGTGTCTAAATGCCAGAAAGTGTCTGACGAGTGTCATGTCATATCGTGTCGGTGTCTGACACATTACCTTCTTAGAAGTGTCCATGCTTCTTCGGTCGCAGTCTTGCACCTAATAATCATACCCACACCTAATACTCAAACCCAAGTCCATCTAACCTAGTGAAAAAAGAAGTATTTGCAAACATTAAGCAGTGATGCATGCAAAAAATTTTAATAAGCAGATTTGTTTGAAATTTTTTCACACTGGTGCATAATTTCTTTGATATACCTTTGTGAGCATCAAAGGGTAAGCCATCAACTGGTACTGATCTGTAACCAATGCTCTTTAGCACTAACCTGAAAAATGCATTAACAAATTGCCACAACAGTCAAGACCTCATGCAAACAATTTAAAAATGAGCAAAAATCTCGAGTAGTCTGGGATAGCCTTCAATTCCCCAATTACGCCGTTCAGTTTGCTCTCCCAACCCGTGCAGACTGGGTGGGGTCATGAAACAAGGTATTTTAAACTTCAAATGATTAAAACATTTTGGGTAGTGATGGAAACATTTCCCTTCTACTATCACACGGCACGAATCAAAACCAAACAAAGTAGAGCATAAAGGGGTATCAAAGGCAACTGTAGGGCAACACAATAAGCATACATAAAAGAGGAATCAGAAGCAACAGGAAGGCAAATACTATTGTATGCACACACAGCAAAACATATTCACTCAAAATGACATCTTCTGGTAAAGCATAACTCAACTTCTCTGTACATAAAATATGGCATGTAGTCAGCTCAACTTCCAAACAGTAACAGATTACCTGCATTCAAGGTCTTCAAACTGTCCTGTACCAACTGCAACTTGTTTCCCAGAGCCAACACTTTCTGCAGAATGAGACCACATAAGTCACAATAATTGGTTACAATTACAGATGTGAAATTATTCCAGTTGCACTAGGCATAACATTTGTAATGTTGGGGAAAACAATGTCCTTATTTTCCTCACAAAAAGGTGTGTACTAAAAAGGCATCATTTTAATTATTTAAAAATTAGTTAGTTAAATTATTGGTTCTCAACATGTTAAGTCTCTGACTCCAAAGATAAAACAGTTTCCAGATTTCCATTTTGTCATAATCCTTTGGTGGATGTCATACTAACTGCATTTTTTAAACCAACGACCATGATCGGACGATATGGAAGACAATAAACACATGAACCACAAAGCGAAGAACTATCGAAAGAGCCATCTGAACCAGCTCACCACAAACATATGCAGAGAAAATTACCTTTAAGAATTGTCTTCTCAAAGCGCACACCAACAACATGACCACCTCTATCGTCTGAATCTAGAAACCCATCTGGCTTCCGGAAGAAAACAAAGTGGAGTTCGCGTTGATCTGAACTGCGATGAGATGGTCCCGACACGGCTGCCTTAGATAGCAACTCATAAACCCTCTTTTGGATTCGACTATTCTTTAGTTCTTCCTTTGCCAAATAATACAATGTACCAATAACATCAGACATGAGGACTATTAAACATAGGGAAACAGAAAAAGGTAACTCTGGTCTTTCGGGGCATTTTCAGCCAAAAAAAAAAAGAAGGAAGAAGAGATCAAATAAATTTTTGGGAAGGAAATTCACCAAGTAACTTGTGAGACAGAGTGCATATAATTTTTTGAAACGGGAAGTATACCTCATCTGCTGGGGTTTTCACTAGATCAACTTCCTTAATGTTAATGTGTAAATCTTTGATACCTACAAAAATGACACCAATAACTCCATAAAAAACACATTTAAAGGCAGAATCATTTAATATCAGCAATGAATATCTTCAATGGATTACATTACGAAAATATGAAAAAACATATTAACTTGAACCATTAGGTAAACATGATTGAGTTTCATTGGAGTTATGAGCAATAGAATGTATTCAAGTTGAACTACTTTATATGGATTACGATCAAAATAATGAATTGAAAATACTCGAGCACTGAGCTCAAAAACATTGGATCACACCAAAACTTGTCTTTAAAAAATTTAAAGATAAGGATCTAGATTTTTCTTTTAGGGCACCAAAGTTGCAATGATGTTTTAGAAAACAATCTTAATTGATACAAATAATATATTAAGAAATTTTTGAACTTAACGAGGGCCAAGGCCTACATCAAGCAAAAAGTAGATCTGCTCTGCATCTGATATAAAACAAACTTCAGTTTGCTCACTACTAGTAGAATCTGATGAAGCAGGTCGAATAATTCTAGTAACCCCCCTTATATAATAATTACTCTGGTAATTAAATTAAAAAAATGCGTTCTGAAACACAAAGTAGCAATGAAATTTTGAACTAATCACGTAGTGTAGAGGACAGGAAACTAGGAATTACCAAGAACTTCACGTAACTCTTTTGTGGTACAAGCTGCTTGCACTGGTCCACGTCTTCCAACTAAGTACACTTTTCTGCAATCATATTTGTATATTTTGACGCAATATAACTAGGGCCCGGCTAAAACCAGTTCAATTGACATCAAAAGGTGGGACAGAAAACCTTATAGAGCTCTCCTCCAGAGCAGCTAAAGCATGGCTGGCAATATCAGTTGTTGCCAACTCTGCAGTTGGTCGTAAAAGAATACGTGTAACATCCAGAGCTACATTGCCCTGAAAGAAAAAACATGGTGGATGGTTATAGGGGTCGAAACTTATTTTGGGATTGAAGGGCTTCAGAACTGCAAACAGTTATTATGACTACTTTTAAAAAAATTATTCTTCTTCATTGCTGCATAATAAATTTTAAATTATTTAATGAGAAAAGGTTTTTTTGCCTCTGAATATCAAGAATGTAATGCGAATATCCATGTCAACTAAGGAAGTATGATGTGTGGTGCAACTTCTTGTTTAGTCATGCTCAATGTCTCCCATCTTCATTCATCCTTTTTATGTTTTGGTTTTGCCGCATAGGTAAGGGGTCAACAACGAGAAACCCCCACCCTTCCCAAAGGGGAAGAGTGAAAGAGTTACTACTTGATGGTTAGTTGTTTAATGCTTCCCAAATCTATGAACCAAACACATCATAAGTGCACAGGTATATTTGCTAATTGTAGTTGTCAGAATTTTAATTTTGACTTGACTATTCAAAAATAAAACCTCAAATACAACACGCCAAATGATGTAGCAATGAAATAGAATGGTATTATACTGTCAGCAACCAACATATCACTTTAAGTACCATAAATTGCAATTTTGTATGATAGCAAGATGAAGTGGAAAGGAAAAGTGCACGTTGAAAAAAACTTTTTAAGTAAATATTTAAATCTCACTGCTGCTTAATGTTCAATCAAGTCATAAGCACATATTTAAGTTTGTGCGGTTTCAATTATTCTAGTTTATTTACCAAAAGAATATTTGACTAAAGGAAATCCTTACTATTGAAATAACATTAAAATAATAGAAAATTTACTTCTACTTATCTTACCTCATTAATTTGACTTGTTGCTCATTTATAAATTGAACCCTACAAAGCATTATTCATAACTATCAAGTAACCTAAGACCTATTTTTCCACCACATGTTATCTAGGCCTTATTTTCTGTTAAGTTAACGTTTATCAAGTAAGTTGTTAGTGTCATACATTGTTATCCTATGTCCTTATTGGTGTTCTCCTCAATCAAACATCATTTTATACAATTAGCATTGCCCTTACTTCTATTAATTCTGTAAATTGTGCATTATGGCCGAAAAAGTAAGAAATGGAAAACCACTAGTTCATCTTATAAGTTAAAAGCCCCTGTTCCGCACAAGATGTTATAATCTGTCTCCCTAAAAATTCACAAGAAAAAATAGAAGAAAGAAAGAGAGAAATAATAAGATACTTGACCAAGAATAACAGCTGTATCAGTGCCCTTTAAGTCTGGAGTCAAATATTTGCAGTCAGGGTGCCCATTATACCACCAAACAAATTCTCTAGCCGAGTGTATCCCTGCCAAATCCTAGAAAGAAAACCAAGAAGAAAGACATAAACAACAGAGACTACAACTGCCTTCGAAGCATTTGCCTATCACCAATTTAAAGATAATAGGCCACGAAGTCTTCCATCAACACAGTTATGCATATCGATTGTATAGATGACTAAACAAAAACAAAAACAAAACCAAAACCAAAAATTCTATACATACTTCTCCAGCGATACCAAGAACTCTATCACTTTCAGCACCATAGGCAAGTACAACCTGGTCAGCAAAACACATATTCATCAAATAACAAAACTACTTGTGATCAATTAATACAAATCAGCACAAGATCTCATCTAGAGCTGGCATCTTACCACATGATACATCTCCCTGAGCTCAGACAATGATACAGAAGACCCAAGTGACACATTTCCAAAGAATGAGCATCGTTCATTTTGAGCAACCCGAGAAAACTGGTTGGTCACAATCTGTTACAAGTTTTCTGGTAAACTAAGCTCAATTAAGAGGACTATTTGAACAATGTATTCTTTAAAAACAGAAGGTTAGAAACACACAATGTAATTCATTAATATACAGATACTGTCAGATTTCTACAAATATTGAAGCTTTAAAAAATGCCAGATGCTAATCAGAATAAAACATTTAGAAAAAATTTATGCCGTCAATGATATTAAAAATGGCCAGATATATACTATAACACTTGCTTAATTTAAATGGTTTTTATTTTATTAGTTTTTGGGATCTCTAAAGATTAAGATAAACCATATTTAGTTGCACTATGTAATAGGAGGCTTAGAACATAGTGCTTGGAATTGATACACCTAACTAGAGACGGTGAGATATATGAAACATAAACAGGAATAGAATAAGATTCTAAATCAAGCACACAACAACATAAAGATTTACGTTGTTCACTCCAGAATGTGGTGGCTTCTAAAAAGAGTTACAATCATGATCTTAGATAACGGTATCACAATATGTACCGATTTTGGCAATGCCATATGATATCAGATAATAGCAGCGAACATATCAATGAATAACGGTATCAGAAGTCCAAAATCTCAATACGTAATGGGTGATACAATACATAACCGATATTTAAAAACGCTGGTTACAATACAATATAAAGAGATGCTGCACTTCAACTATAACTAAGTAGTATTAGGGGAAAAAATAGACCAGACAACATTTTGGTTTCTTTTCATACCAATGCATATGAGATTAAACAGGAATTCCATCACTCAAATTATGAACAAACAATTAATCAGTAGACATAAAACTATTCAATTCAACACAAAACAAGCACATAACACGTATAAGAAGCTAAACTATAAAATTCTTGTACCTACATACAAACCTTAGTTTCAGGATGATCCGGTGCCACACCGGACCGGACTAATCCATACGGCGTCGGCAACCTGTCCACAATATCAACCTCAGCTCCTTGATGTCTCTTCAACATCTAGTAATGTAAATTCAACAATTCAAATCAATTTGAAATTATACACTGACATTCACTGAAATGCTTATACATGTTCTGTGTATATATACATATATATATCGAGAGAGAGAGGTTGATATGCACCTTCTCGGCAGTGTAAAAGCCAGCAGGTCCACTTCCGACTACACAAACGCGCAACGGAGTTGAAGAGAGAGAAGCAAAGCTTCTTGAAAACAATTTCATAGCTCTAGAAATCGCCATTTTTTTTTATTATTGGAGATTATGAAATTCACAAGTTTGATTTGAGACTTCTAGGAAGATTTTTTGTTACTTTTTACGGTTCCAAATGTTGCAGAAGGAGATCTTGAAGAAACAGGTCGTGAAGCTTCTTCGAGTGCGACTTCGAGTTTGAGAATGTGAACTGTTAGAGAATGTGAACTGATACGAAAAATGAAAAAAATTAGGGATTTTTTTTTTAAGGTCCTGATATTCAGATTTTAAAAGATATAATATACAATATTTTCATAATGGTTGAAGTCTCAATATTTTTTCAGAGAAATTTCAAAATACAGAGAAATTTGTTTGATTCTCTGTGTTTTCAAACCAGAGAAAATTCAAACCAGAGAAATTTGTGTTTTGAAATTTCTCTAATTTGAATTTTCTCTGGTTTGCTCACATATTTCTCTGTGATTTGCTCATAATTTTATCTAGTTTGCATCTTTATAAGCATGTCAACATTCAAACTTTCAATCCTTCCAACAAAATAGAGTTAAGCATAGCATCAGAATTTGCAAATGTACAACTTCAAAATTTCACTAATTCAGTCCAAATGTCATGTTTTCTCTCTATATTCTTAAAAACCAAAATTAACATTCAATAAATCTAACAATTAAACACAAAATCTAGATTTTTACTAGGGGTGTTCGCGGATCGGTTTTGTGCGGTTTGCGGTTCGGTTTTGACCCGCCCGCATCTATGCGGTTTGGGAAAAAGTCAATCCGCAACCGCCCGCAATACGGTTTGCGATTTATGCGGATAGGGTTTGCGGATGTGCGGGCGGTTTGCGGTTTACACTTTTTTCTTTAAAAATTAATTTTTGAGTTTTTTTTCCCCATCGAATTTAGGCATCAGATTCATTTTATATATTTGTGATTATTTGACAACAATTTCCTAATGAGTTTAAAAATAAAAATTGAATATCAATGCATTAAATGAAAGTACTTAAAACAAAGAGACCCTACGCTAGCATTTTTGTCATGAAAAAAATGTATATCAATGTATTAAAAAATATATATCAATGCATTAAAGGTTGTACGCAATTAGAATTGTCAGTTCAGTAATCAATAATCAAACTAAAAGCTCTATCGACTACCAAAAAGGAAATTTTATTAGAAAAAAGTGGATGAGTCACCAATGAAAATATATAAGAAATCAAGTTTAGGACTTGATAATTCTACGGCATTAAAAAAGTTGAGAAATACTTAAAAATAAGGATCCTAGTGTCATAGAGAATATAATGGGGCTCCTGTTAAAGTTACAAAGTTGGTATATAAAAAAAAATAATAATAACAATAATAATTAAAGTGCGGGCGGTTTTTGCGGGTTGCCGGTTTAAACCGCGACCCGCCCGCAACCCGCAAATTTGTCATATTTCAAACCGCATCCGCCCGCATTATATTTGCGAAACTGCCCATTTATATGCGGATTGGGCGGGTTGGGCGGTTTGAGCGGTTCGGATAAACCGTTGCCCACCCCTAGATTAAATAAAAATTTTTACACATGATATATATATATATAGAGAGAGAGAGAGAGAGTCAGTTCTTTACTGCCCTGAGTAAATCCAAAGGGAAAAAAAATGTTGTTATGATCAACATTTAGATCAAAACTTGAAATATATCGTGCATATATATACGTGTATGTATAGTAAAGGTCATGTAAAACTTTGAATATCATTGAAGTTTGAGCCATTGCCATCAAAACCTTCACAAACTCCAACTCTCTGTTTGCGTCATACAAATCACAATAATGTAATTTTGTCCTAACAGTTTGCAATCTACAAGTTGCCCTGAGTGTGTTCTTCATCACCATCACTCGTCTCTCTCTCTCCCCCCACAGCCTCTGTCTCCCCATGTCCGACTCCTACCGTCGCCAATAGAAGCACCACGACAGCGAGATCGTCGACGGTGGTATGATGTGGTTCAGATCTATTAAAGGGCGAAAAGATCTGACCGATGGAAGGCTTAGGAAGAGCGCGAAGCTAGGATCTGGCTTGGCGATGATGAAGCTATCCAAGAGGCGATTCTCTCTCTCTCTCTCTCTCTCTCTCTCTCTCTCTCTGTCTAGATGTATTGCTATGGATGTATGATGTGTGGGTGTGTATGTGGTCAATGTGTGGGTGTGTATGTGATCAATGTGTGGGTGTGTATGTGATCAATGTGAGGAACCTAAAATAATTACAAAAATATATATATATAAATATATGTTAAGACCTCTTCCACCATAAGTTGGGAAGTAGGGTCAACATGGTCCAGATTGGGGTAAAATTAAGACCAATCCGTTATCTACGATTCCTAAAAAATTGGAACCAATCCGATCCGTTTAAATCGTGAAACTAATCCGAACCAATCCATTTAAACACAGATTGGATCGGTTTAGAACCATGGATTCACATAATTAAACAACAAAAAAAAATATAAAACATTTAAAAATAATAAACAAAAGCAATAAATTGAATATTGGAATTCAAGATCTAACATGAACAAATCCAAGATCAAAGCAGGGAGCAACAAAATGCACAAAATCTAACCTGCATTATAGTTTCCTCTGGGATTTGCATGTGGATATATATATTCAAGCTGCCTAACTGAAGCCCATAGTCTTCTATATAATGGACTCTGAATAAACGAACAAAAAACAAAAACAATGAAACAGATTACTAATAAGAAGCCTTAAAACACACACCCACAAAAGCAAAAAACGAAAATGACATGGTCCACACACATACTATAGGCGAAATTAATTGAAGAAAAGGTACAAATTTTCTGTGAAAACAACCAAAAGTGTTCCAAAATGCAGATTCTAAAAACACATTCACCAAGTACAAAGGAAACAAATCATCAAAGCTTACTTTGGGGAAAGAAACAAAGAAATCCATCTGGGTCTTTTCCAACAATCCCAAACCCACAACAAAGATAAAATAAAATTTAAGCAGAAACCCCAAAATCTAAAGTACACAAAGGTTAAGATGAATGAGTAGAGAGAAACTAAATTGAAGTTTCGAATCACATAATTTCACTGCCTATATATGAAACAAAATCTTAACTTCCATTCATTTTCTGATCAGCCAAAGGAGGGAAGGGGAAAATCAGAGACCAAGCCAGTACCACCGACTTGATCTGAGATGAAATCACAAGAATAAATAGAGAGAACTAAGTCTGAGAAAGAGAAGAGAGGGAGCTTACCGAGTCTAAGAAAGAAACCAACACAGTGTCACCGAGAGAGAGAGAGAGAGAGACCAAGCCACTACAGCCGATCTGATCTGAGATGAAATAAGAGAGAGAGACGCTGAGAAAGAGGAGATAGAGTACCGAGAGAGAGATAAGAGGCGTGTAACGAATTAGGGTTAGGGTTTACCTTTTATATGGAAAACGAAGTGATATTATGTACGAGGATGTATAAAATATAGATTATTTATACATGCTTAATTCAGAATTGTGAGATTTAATTCGGAATCTATTCATAAATTATGGATTTTTAAATTTTTAATTTGGAGTCGAATCACGAATTCAAAAAAAAATCCAAATCTATCAGATTAGATTGGATCCAATTGGATTACAAATTATATAAATTCCTTACTCAGCCCCATTGGGAAGAGCATCATCTCCCTTATAATAGCTTTTTGTTATTGTGCCTGTTTGGCAGAAATTATTTACAGCTTATTTCAGCTTTCAGCTTAATTTAAGCTATTTTGATGTATTTGATTTAGCTTATAGCTTATAGCTTTGTGGAAGTCAGAAATCAGCTTATTCTTTGAGTGGGGCAGGAGATGCTTTAAGAATAAGCTGGAAATCAGCTTAAGCTGAAAGTTATAAGCTATAAGCTGTTTAGGCATAAGCTATAAGCACTTTCCCACAGCTCTACCAAACAGGGCTATTATAAGAAGTGAATTCTTCATAAATTTTTTCTCATTAAGGCTTTATCCAACTCCCTAAATATAAGTATTGTTACAATAACTTTCTATTTGAAGGGAGTCACTTTAGTTTCCTCATATCTGATAAATTTTTATTTTATTTCGTTGAAGGCATGAAAGGAACATCCCCCAGATATCCTTTTGAATGTTCCGTAAATACTTATAACTGAAAAAGAAAAATGTCCAAAATTGATCTGATCGGTCGACTAGTCAGTCGGCCAACATCTTTCAATTCCTCTCCTGCTTTGCTCCTACTTGTTGCTGCTTTGTTGGCATCATCTTTCATTATTTTATTATTAAAAAAATATTCAAATTTAACAGTAATTAAAAAGATTGTTTTAATAAAATAGAGGAAAAAAAACAAGAAATTTGTTGGGAGAAGTAGATAAAAAAATGATTTCTAAAAGGGAAAAAAAATTTAATAATATTTTAGGGTAAAATTTAGGTAAGCTGGTAAAATGTTCTAAGGAATGTTTTATTAATTTAAAAAAAAAAATTACTAAAACTAAAAAATACCAAAAAATTATTAAATAAAAGCTTAAAAATTAAACACTCTTTAAGTTGAAGAAGTATAGTAATATTGACTGATAGTTCAAGGGAGTAAAATATAATTTACTCCTACAATTAAAAGCATATTTTCGTTATTAAGATCTAAATTAAAAAAAAAATTAATAAACGAAGGAAGTTAAAGTGCCGTTTGGTAACACTTACGTTTTCAGTTTTCAGTTTATATTTACAAAAGTTTTAAAAACTCAAATAAAAACTTGTTTGGTAAAATTTTGAATTTATAAATCAGTGGTCTCAGTTTATAAATTTGGCCAAAAAATGAAAACACAAAAAATGTATTTCCGTTTTGAGTTTTGAGTTTTTTTTTTTTTACCACCCAGCACTAGTCACCACCCGTCACCATTTTCCACCACTGTCTTCCGCCACCGCCACCACCACCCACCATCCATCCCCAACCACCACCAGCCCACCACCCACCTGCCACCCACTCGTCACCACCACCCACCCATCGCCGCCGCCACCACCTACTACCCACCACCGTCACCCATCCACCCACCACCACCACCACCACCATGTTGGGAGAAGTAGATAAAAAAATGATTTCTAAAAGGGAATAAATTTTTTAATAATATTTTAGGGTAAAATTTAGGTAAGCTGATAAAGATGTTCTAAGGAATGTTTTATTAATTTTTAAAAAAAAAATTACTAAACCTAAAAAATACCAAAAAATTATTAAATAAAAGCTTAAAAATTAAACACTCTTTAAGTTGAAGAAGTATAGTAATATTGACTGATAGTTCAAGGAGATAAAATATAATTTACTCCTACAATTAAAAGCATATTTTCGTTATTAAGATCTAAATTAAAAAAAAATTAATAAACGAAGGAAGTTAAGTGTTACAATTTTTAGTTTAAAATTAATTTTTTTCAAAAAAAATAATAAAACTAAAATATACAAAAAAAATTATTAAATGAAAGCTTAAAATTTGAATTAAAAATTAAACATTCTTTTAGTTGAAGGGGTAGAGTAATATTAAGTGATAGTTCAAGGGGGTAAAGTGTAATTTACTCCTATAATTAAAAGGATATTTTCGTTATTAACATCTAAATTCAAAAAAAAAAATTAATAGACAAGGGAAGTTAAGTGTTATAATTTTTAGTTTAAAAGGATAAAATGATATAAAATAGTGTAAGGTAAAACATAATTTGCCCTAAATTTTAGATAAATTACAAATACACACTAAAATTTATTAAAAATAATTTTTTTCCTCACATTCAGAAAATTAAATCTATACTCTCAAGTAGAGGAGCATCAGAAAATGATGATGATGGTGAGAATGATGAGGTTGATGATGATGATAGTGTAGCCTACTAGTCGCTTGGGTAATGTTGCCTTGACAGTTTGGCTGCTCCAACCACTTGTAACAACTATGGCTTGAATTGAACATATAATTTGTTTCTCATTTAAACATTATGACATGGAAGGTTGATATCACCATGAGACACAATGAAAGGTGAAGTCCATTATAGACATTTTATATAAGTTTCAAAGCAAAAGAGTAGGTTTAGCATTGACAACCTAATACTGAACCATATGTTTGTATTTGGTTCTAAGCATAGACAGCCTTCTTTGCATCGGAAATTTCTCATCTCTTGTTCCCATTTTGTCTAGATAGAATACAATTTTGTTCAAGGTTTGCATAACCTTCTCACTCTCATAATCAAACCCTTTCTCTTGAATTGCCAGAACCCTCTTCAGAAGCTCCGGTAACTCAATATCATACTCTCCTAGTTTGGTTTAGATAGACACCAAACAGTTGAGAGCTTCACCTGAGATGCCAAAACGTAGAAAAATACATAAAATAACAGAAATTTAAATATAAAAAAAAAGAAAAAAAAAACTTGTGGGTATAAAAAAAAAGAAACCAACACTGTGTCACCGAGGGAGGGAGAGAGAGAGAGAGAGAGACACCAAGCCACTACAGCCGATCTGATCTGAGATGAAATCAGAGAGAGAGACGCTGAGAAAGAGGAGATAGAGTACCGAGAGAGAGATAAGAGGCGTATAACGAATTAGGGTTAGGGTTTACCTTTCATATGGAAAACGAAATGATATTATGTACGAGGATGTATAAAATATAGATTATTTGTAAATGGTCTGAATCCGTTCTAATTTAGGACCGTGGGATTTAATTTGGAATCGATCTATAAATTATGGATTTTTAAAATTTTAATTTGGAACCGATCCACGAATTCAAAAAAAAATCTAAACCTCTCAGATTGGACTAGATCCAATCGGATTACAAATTATATGAATTCCTTACTTAGCCCCATTGGGAAGAGCATCATCTCCCTTATAATAGCTTTTTGTTATTATAAGAAGTGAATTCTTCATAAATTTTTTCTCATTAGGGCTTTATCTAACTCCCTAAATATAAGTTTTGTTACAGTATCTTTCTATTTGAAGAGAGTCACTTTAGTTTCTTCATATCTGATAAATTCTTATTTTATTTCGTTGAAGGCATGAAAGGGACGTCCCCCAGATATTCTTCTAAATATCCCGTAAATACTTATAACTGAAAAAGAAAAATGTCCAAAATTGATCTGGCTGGTCAACTAGTCAGTCGACCAACATCTTTCAATTCCTCTCGTGCTTTGCTCCTACTTGTTGCTGCTTTGTTGGCATCATCTTTCATTATTTTATTATTAAAAAAATATTCAAATTTAAAAGTAATTAAAAAGATTGTTTTAATAAAATAGAGAAAAAAAAAATAAGAAATTTGTTAGGAGAAGTAGATAAAAAAATGATTTCTAAAAGGGAATAAATTTTTTAATAATATTTTAGGGTAAAATTTAGGTAAGCTGGTAAAGATGTTCTGAGGAATGTTTTATTAATTTAAAAAAAATTACTAAAACTAAAAAATACCAAAAAATTATTAAATAAAAGCTTAAAAATTAAATATTCTTTAAGTTGAAGAAGTATAGTAATATTGACCGATAGTTCAAGGAGGTAAAATATAATTTGCTCCTACAATTAAAAGCATGTTTTCGTTATTAAGATCTAAATTAAAAAAAAAAAAATTTAATAAACGAGGGAAGTTAAGTGTTACAATTTTTAGTTTAAAATTAATTTTTTTCAAAAAAAATAATAAAACTAAAAAATACAAAAAAAAAATTATTAAATGAAAGCTTAAAATTTGAATTAAAAATTAAACATTCTTTTAGTTGAAGGGGTAGAGTAATATTAAGTGATAGTTCAAGGGGGTAAAGTGTAATTTACTCCTATAATTAAAAGGATATTTTCGTTATTAACATCTAAATTGAAAAAAAAAAAAATAATAGACAAGGGAAGTTAAGTGTTATAATTTTTAGTTTAAAAGGATAAAATGATATAAAATAGTGAAAGGTAAAACATAATTTGCCCTAAATTTTAGATAAATTACAAATACACACTAAAATTTATTAAAAATAATTTTTTTCCTCACATTCAGAAAATTAAATCTATACTCTCAGGTAGAGGAGCATCAGAAAATGACGATGATGGTGAGAATGATGAGGTTGATGATGATGATAGTGTAGCCTACTAGTCGCTTGGGTAATGTTGCCTTGACAGTTTGGCTAGTCCAACCACTCGTAACAACTATGGCTCGAATTGAACGTATAATTTGCTTATCATTTAAACATTATGACATGGAAGATTGATATCACCATGAGACACAATGAAAGGTGAAGTCCCATATAGACATTTTAAAGCAAAAGAGTAGGTTTAGCATTGACAACCTAATACTGAACCATATGTTTGTATTTGGTTCTAAGCATAGACAGCCTTCTTTGCATAGGAAATTTCTCATCTCTTGTTCCCATTTTGTCTAGGTAGAATACAATTTTGTTCAAGGTTTGCATAACCTTCTCACTCTCATAA